AGTCGCTTTTGAAGTTAAATGAAGCGAATGCTTCACTCGCTGCGCTCATTTGATTTTTAATTAGAGCCTTGACACTTTGGACTATTTGTTTGTGCAGTGCGGAAATTAACAGACATTCCGTAATGATTTGAGTACAATTGTAAATTGCTGACGTGTAATTAATTACGACAAATTATTTATTAACCGATTTCTATGAGAGTTTGCTAACTGATTGGGACGGAGATAGAGGCAGAGCGGGAGGAAGAGAGGGAGTATGGGCTGTTTGGGTGGCAATCAGGCAGCTTAAGTCAATTGTTAGCTATTAAAGGCGACACTAGCAAAGCGAAGAAAGAAAACAGAGCTGCAGAGGGAGAGAGATTGGGAGAGGCACACTGTTGTATGCGTGTTTGGCGTTCTACGTTGCGTATGCGTAATTATTTGCTTTGTGCCTGACGGACAGGCTGAGACTCAAACTGAAGCAGCACTCGACACGCAGCTGTTACACACATACACACACACACACACCTAACAACACTTTTCCGTTAGCAATTTCCGCTTTGGCACCCAAGTGGGAATTGCAGCATTGAGCGCCAAGTCAAAGGCAAAAGCAAAGTCGCAGCTGAGGCGAAGCTTCCATTCGTGTTGCTGATTAGTGTTGATTGGCATTTCTCGCTTTGCTGCTCATCAATGCTAATTTTTTTTCTTCTTCTGCTTTTCTTTTCTTTTCTTTTCTTTTCGGTTTTGCCCTTGCCACGCATTTTGTTGTGTCGTGGCCTCGTTGCTGCTGCAACAAAAGCAGTTTGCAAATGTAGCGCAGGATGCCAAAGATTGATTGACGCAACATTTTGTGCTGATGTTGATATTGATGAAGTGCCCAATCAATTGGCTGTCCAAAGGACTTCCTCACAACTACACATATTAGAATCAATGCGCACAATTTAATATACCAAGAGTAATTAATGCATTTAGCCACACAACCACACAGCGTTAGGGAAAAATATGAAATTTGGAACTGCTTAGTGCCGTGTCAACACTTACGGCTCGTTACGCACGGCTGAGCGACAGGGCTGCTGCTGATGATGTTGGCCATGGCTGATGAACGTGGCTTAAATAAAGGCAAAAGCGTAAAATCAACAACAGGCAACGGCAATAGCAACAGCTACAACGACGCCAACAAAAGGCATGGAAAACGCAAACATCAACATTTTCCACAAATAATAACAAACATTTATGGCATGATGGCATAACTGTAACTACACACACGTACGGCAGTATCTAGATGTGTGTCTATGAGAGAGTGTGTCAGTGTGAGTGTGTGTATGTGCCTGATATATATGACAACACATGTGCAACGTTGACAGCCATTTTAATGGAATATGCGCCAAAACAGCGCCAAAGCCCGGAATGGTCAAAGCGACAAGCAGCAAATGTGTTTGCCACATGGTTGGACAGCAAATATATAATGCCCCAATGACAAAACAAAATTACAAGTATACATATGGGCAACAGTTATGGCTATTTATAGCACAAGAAATGTGCCTAAAGTACAATTGCAAATATTTTATATAATACTATTGTCAAGAGCTTTAGTGTCACAAAAGTTTGGTCGAGGCGTTGCTTAGGATGCATTTGGAATTTGCTTTGCACTTAAATAACACTTTCTTCATTCAATTCATTTTCTATCATTTTACTGCATTTTTTTTTTTAAATAAATATTATAAATATTTTTCCCAAATATTAATATTTTTCTTATAGTCGATACTTCAATAAATATTTTATATTTGTTGAGATATTTTTATTTCTTTTACGCCTCAATGCAAATTCTGCTTAAGCTTATATAAAATTAAATATATATTAGAAATGTTATTTTTAAATTATATAACAGTCTACCTTAAAACAACATAAAACAAGTAAGAAAGCTCTAGTCGGGGTGCCCGACTAGGAGATACCCTGATCCCAGTCCTTTGAGTTTTTTAATATTTTCCGTAGTTTGTATCGAGTATTAAAAAAAAAGAAAACAAATAAAAATCGACATTGTGAGACCAGGTTTCGAACCCGGATTATTTGCGCAACGTGCACAAACTCTACCAACACCGCCACTTCATAACTAAAAAAAAAATAGAACAATAAAAAACATTTCATCTTCACTGGTCTCGAACCCGGACCAAGCTGCATACGAGCGGAGCCTCTACCAACGCAGCCACTGCCCTTCTTATTCGAGACGTTGCAAATTTGAACATAAGTAGCAGCTAATAATTCAGCACAATTCAATCGGAATTTCAATTCTTGGAATAGAAAAGAATAGGAAAAATGCGTGCGCGTGGCGCTGCTGACATGTGCTTTTGCAAATTGGCCAAACGTTTTGTTTAATAACTTCTGTTTTACTTAATGGATTTTAATGAAATTTTCAGCATATGATCTATATATCCTATTGGATTGGTTGAGATGCAAACGTCTTGACATAATGGCCCTAGTTCCAACTAAACTTAAATTCTAAGAATTTGGGGGAATTTGGAGCCGGTATCCAAAATCCAACAAAAATCAAAATTGCATAAAATATACATAAGACTAAATACAAAATTTGGAAGCTCTAGCTCTCAAGACGTTCGAGATATAATTTATTTACTGCATTTCAATAATGTTTTTATTCGATAACAATTAAATGCGAATAGTTATCGAATATTTGAAACAAACTTGACCTGCGCGTGCTATACACGGACCTACAAAAAAAATTTCAAGTCTCTAGCTCTTATAGATGCTGAGATCCACGCGTTCACACATACGGACAGACGGACAGACGGACAGACAGACAGACGGACAGGGCTCAATCGACTCGGCTTGTCGTCCTGATCAAGAATATATATACTTTATGGGGTCTGCCACGCCTCCTTCTGCCTGTTACATACATTTGCACAAAACCATTATACCCTGATTTCCCATTTTTAATGGGATCAGGGTATAAAAAAATAAATTATTAACCTTATTTATATATTAATAAAAAATTTATTTAAGGCCAAGCTAGTTGCCCTCAGTTTATTTTTTTAGGCATTCAGCCCAAGCTCAATTTAACTTGGCATAATAAATACCTTTCCGTGCTTATCAAATAAATTTTCAAAAAAATAGTTGAAAATTAATTTTAAAATTGTGTACATACTTTTAAAAGTTCAATAAGTTTTTAAGTATTCTTAAAAGCAGTTTCAAGCAGAGTTTTTCTTTAAGACATGCAATATTTTTCATTATAATTCCGCCAAGCTTTTCTAACCCACTGTGCAATATGCACGTTCGCCCTTGTCGATTTTTTTCTATATTTGTTTTGCTCTTATTTGTTTTCTATACGTATATAAATTTCTATGTATAAATAGATATATGTTTATACTCAGTTAGAAACGTACTTTCTGGTGAAGGTTTTCGTTTTTGGTTCTCTTTTTGTTTTGTTTGCTGGCTTTTTTGGCGGGGACCTTCTTGTTGGCATGTGAGTCATGCGTGGAGCACCTGCTGCCTACCCGGTTTCTGTGTTAATTCGTGCGTTGTGCCCCAAAACGCGAAGCAACTACCCAGCGCTGGCCTGTCTGAGCCCTGTCAAAGCGGCCATGTATATCGCACACATGTGAACAAACAGCAACCAGCAGAGTCGGCAGATTTCCAGGGCCTAAAGCACGATTCGTTGCCAAAACACGCACAAGGATCCCCCCGTTGTGGTGCCTATCTGCTGCCACGCTATCTGCTGTCTGCCCGCCTGTACTAGTTAGTGCCGTGCTGCGGCTCTGTGTTTGCTCAGGATATGCGCGCACTTGACATACGAAACAGGCTCGTGAAATATGTATGCACACATATGTATATATATATATATATACATAAACTTCAGTTGTCAAAATATTCACAAAAATTAAGAGGCTAGCGCAAGGGAAGCTGCGCATTTACACATCACTCATTTCAGCCCGACAGCCACTGTTTAAGATTTATGGGAATTTATTACCAGAAGCAAAATTGATATGCGAAATAATTAACTCTTTCAAATGCAGGTGACAAGTGAGCTGAGAATAATTATGATTATATATATTAAGTGGGAAGCCAAAGCAAAGATACGAGACACATAATTAACAATATTGAACCAGTTATAAATGGGTATGAAATATGTATAATAAGCTTAACTACATTTAAGCAGGCTTTCAATTGGAAATATTAAATTTTTATTGTAGTTATGGCAGAAGAAGCCTTCTCAAATTAATTGTAACTTGGGCGCGACTAAATAGCAAGTTGAAGGAGAGACTCAACTTGGTGTAGTCTTATATTTCTTATAGTTATATCAAATATTATTTTAGAGTTACACAAGTTTAAATCATAATAAAACAAATGAATAAATTTGCGATATCAATGAAATGACCTTTGTTGAGTAGAACATTGTATGGCATTCGTTTATGAATATGTCTAAGACCAAGTCTGGAGCATTTTTCATAATCAACAATATGATGATCATCTACGAAGATATATGATCAATGACTCCCACATTCTTCTATGCTTAAGCATATCATTTATAAATAATATTCATAAAATTAAAAAAATAAATATATGTAAAAAAAAGGCATAGCAAAATTTCAAATTAAATCATAAAGTTGATTTTCTGACTCAATTGCTTGCAGCCCATTCACATGCTTTAAGAAGCCATCAGGAAAGGGCATGTGATCTATTGCCACTTGAAATTAATGATGTCGACTGCATAATCAGGCAAATCCCTATTTAAGCGAATCTAATTCAATGCTCGACAGCTTGAATGGCAGCGAAGCCTTTGCAATTGGCTGTAACGCGATAGACGTGAAAGCATTTGCAGCAAATCACTTGAACTTTCTCACACCTTGTCGCGCACAGCTCATCACACACACATACATACACACACACACACACAGCATTTACAGCTACTGAATGAGCTTCTATTTCAATGTGGAGAGTTAACGCTCTTTGAATTTCGTTTCGTGTTCGAGTTACGTTACGTTACGATTGACCAAGTTTTCAATTATTTACAGGTAATTTGGTTCAAAGACACCATGCAATTGGACACCACCGAGCGGCACATCATGGAGAATCGCGGCTCACGTCACACGCTGATTATACGCAAAGTGCATCCGCAGGACTTTGGCAACTATTCCTGCGTGGCCGAGAATCAGCTTGGCAAGTCACGCAAAACTTTGCAGCTGAGCGGAAAACCGAATGTTGCCGTTTTTAATTCACCGGCAATCAGTCAGTACAAGGACAGGTAAGAATCCACCATGTCAGACAGAGAGAAAGACAGAGAGAGAGAGAGACGTCCAGACACGTGCGCGTTCACGTGGCTACGTGCCACACACACAGACTGAGACACAGACACACATACACTGTCAGATAAGTGCTTGACTTCAGTTGAGCTAAGTTAACTTCAGTTGAATTGAGATAGCCTAATTAGCGCAGCTCAGATTTATATATACGTATATATACGTAACATGAAATGACGTATACGCACATTTGACAAACAAAAAAAGAATGCAAAAAATGATATTAGAAATGTCAGTTTTTCGGACAGTGTATATTGAGACGGCGGCTTTATTAGTTTCATTCTGCTGAATGACACACCATGGACTGTGGGGACGGTCGGCCAACTGGTCGTATACGTAACAAATAAAACTTTTAATTGGATTAGCTGTCATCAGACAGCCACACACACACACACACACATACACATACAGAAAGAGACAATCAGACAGACAGAGAGACCCACACATGGCTGAGAGGACAAGCAGCCAAGCGACAAACAAGCTCACATCTCACTGTCATACACACACAGAGTGTGAGAGAGAGCAAGAGTGAGGGCAGAGAAGCAGAGAGAGTGTGAGGTAGACAGACAACGACATAGCTATAGACCTAACAAGCTGCCAGCGTGTGGCATTGGCACCTTTCAATAATTCAACTTGAATTAAGTTCAATAAACTAGAAAAAACTGAACAGAGAAACATATAGAAATTGCCATTTGAAATGTGCAAAATTGAAAATGCGTAGCGAAAAAGGTCGAACATATCAAATAACTCAGATATTAAATGAAATTCCAAAACCAATTTACTCAACTACAGTTATTGCTGCTTGACACATGAGCCAAGATATTTTCCCAAAAATGAACACAGAATTATTAATAATTTATATTTATTTTGAAAAGCTTAGATAAATAGTACTCAAATTTAAAAATTATTTAATACCATTTTATATTTAAGTGAAATATTTGCTGAAATCATAAACTTGAAGTAAATAGATATTTTAAAATAAATGAGAGAACGGTTTTTCATTCATTCATTTTGAAAAATAATATTTAAATTTAAATTTATTTTATATTTATTTTTATATTACAATTTTGCTGCATTTTCTCAAATTTATTTTAATAATTAATTCAGAAACTTTTAATAAATAAATATTTAAAATATAACGAAATATTTTTCTTGTATAAAAATATTGATTTTCGCTTATTTATTTATGTAAAATAGATTTTAATTTAATTTTTGTGAACATATTAATTAATAATGAATTCATAATTAAAATACAGTGTTATGCCAGTTACGAGCGACTGCTGTTAGCATGTTTGCGTATACGCACCGCGTAACAAAGTTTCTCTAGACGAACACGAACATTGGGCAGGGGCAATGGGCAATGAGTCCGTCTCTCTCTCTCATTTTCTCTTTCTCTTTTTCTCTCTCTGTGGGGCAGCAGAAATGTTTTTTTTTTTTTTGTTGGTTGATGCTGAACGAGATTCGGGTTTTGTCAACGCAACGCTGATTTCATTTGCTGCCTGGCCCGGAAACTGCTGCCGGCAATTAAGGCTGCCAAATTGGTGGCCCATGGAGCCATAGATATGGGGAGGCCACAGGCTGGCGCCAGTCGTTGAGTCTTCAATTGTTCATAATCATTTTTATTGCCAGCCTTACTTTGATGCTATATGCGAAAAGTTGGCCCTGATTGGCGTTTTATGTTTTTATTGTGCGCAGGACTTCAGGTTATTAGTTCATATGGCTCAATAAGCATGCAAAACAAAACCAACAAGAAAAATATAAAAAAATTGGAATGGAATGAAATTACGCACATTGAAACCGAAAATAAATGCCAAACACAAGCAGCAGCGGCACAGATCCTTTGCCATTTGTATAAGTTGGCTTGTTTATGGCCTTTGGACCGCGCTACTCCCCTTGCTGGGCGCTCTCTCTTAGCTGATTAGCATTCAAATTGTGTGCCGAGTTTATCGCAAAGCAATGAACTAGCGCCTTTGTAATGCGAATGCGAACTCTGAGTGGAAATAGGAGTGGGAGTGAGGCTAGGAGTGGGAAGAGGCAGAAGGACAACAAGGACACACAAGCGCTTTGCTTGTAATTAGTTGTTTACTTGAACGCTGCTTGAATAGTTTCGACTCTCTCTCGATTACCGTCATAAATACTGCCAAATCTGTTGGCAACTGTTGTGTGGCTTAAAGTGAGTCTTTAAGACTGAGGCCAATGGCCAAAATGCAGCTGGGCGTGGCCTGCTGTTAGTCTTTCGGTTGAATGAACGAAACGCATTGTGCGCACAACGAAGGACAAACAAAGGGCCAATAACAAAGACGGAGAACAGCAGCAAAGCAGTAGCAGCAGCAGCAGCAGCAGCAGCAGTAACAGGGACAACAACAGCAATTGCTTTATGTGCGATATCTTAACCCCAGCCATTGTCAGCATTGATTATGTTGCTGTTGACGCAGCAACAACAATTGCTGCTGTTGCGTGCTGACTGCAGCAACATGGCTTTATATCAAATTTAACAATTACATATTGATTGAGTTCGTCTTAAAAATAAATCTGGCGCCAACTGTTGCACGCAACCAACTAACTCTGTCGCTCTCTCTATCTCTCTCTCTCTCTCTCTGTCGCCCTCTCTCTTTGTGTAGATACAACATTTCGTGGGCAGTCGACTCTCACACACCCATCGAGGAGTACAAGTTGTCCTTCCGCAAGCTGCCACAAGGACATGAGGTCGTTGACAATGCCATTGACTCGCAATCCTCATCGTCATCGTCCTCCTCCTCCTCGATGTCTTCGTCCTCGTCTTACGGCACCAGCAGCCACAATCATCGCATCGGCAACAACTTGGCCAACTATGGCGGCTATGGCAATCTGATGCGCTGGGGCCACAACGATTGGCGCGATGTGGTGCTGCCCGCCTTCCCCCTATCGCACCACTACGCCCAAGGCATGAGCTATATGGTGCGCGGCCTGGATCCCGATCAGCAATACGAGGCCACAGTGCAGTCCCGGTAAGTAAAAGCTAAGCTCAACTATGCAGTGCTGGCTCACACTTAACAAGAAATTGAAAGGCAAAATAAGTAGAAAATGGTTTTAGGGCACTTGGACATTTTGATTAAAATTTATATACATTATATATATAAAATAATCTGCAATTTGTTGAATGCAACTTAGAAAGATTTCTTGCCTCAAAGCATCTTTCGTATACGTGCAGCATAAACTGCAGTAAGACGTATGGAATTTCAAATTTCTTTAGTTTTAATGAACATTTTATTAAATTTAGTTAGGCATAGGCTGATATATGTCATTCATATGAACACTTCTGAAAGTTTCTTAAACATTCTTGACTTTGCTCTCTGAGTCTCAGAAATAGCATTTTATAGTCGAGATTTATATCAGTCAAATAACGCCTAGATTATTGAATTAATTAGTTATAAAACTCTAATTGATCTAGTGCTTATCATTGAACAGTCTACTTCCAAAAATATGCACATTCTATAACTAAATAAAATAATTTATTTAGTTGGAACTAAATATATCCATTATGCCAAGTCTGCTAGCCTACCTTAAGTTGCAGCAAAGCCAACAAATTCTTTTTACTGTTGAATGCAGTTAATGCAAAACTGGAAAACAAAGAAAATTGCTAAAAAATAAAGCTAACTTTTAAATTTCTTCAGCTATACGAAAAATTGTCCTGATGATGCTATTATTTATTTCCTTCTTATATATGCACATATAGAGCACTCAGCTTCATGCGTGGCCTATTAGTACACTTAAAACCTTTAGTTTTGATATCTTTGACAGATATTTTAGTCACAAAGTGTTTAGTAAAAATATTAAACAACAATTTAGACGCTGCAATCTCAGTTAGAGTACGTGAAACGTGTTAGCAGAGCAAATTCCCAAGTTAATTTAATAAATTGTTATGTTATATGTATGGGGCAAAGACTCAGTTTTCAATACGTTACGTTGCAGCTGGCTCAGTTCAGTTGAAGCTGTGCAACAATCAGACAATCAGTCAATCAGTCAGATAGGCAGCTAATAAGGATAAGCTCTCTCTGCTAATAGTGTTCAGGAATATGTATATATTTAAAACAGATTTCAATAATTGTTGCAACAAGTGCTTTAATATGTGCCACAAATTATTCACAGGAATCGCTATGGCTGGAGTGACTTGACCAACAGCTTCTTCTTCTCCACATCATCAAATGGTGAGTTGAGCCAGCGCTTGAGGGTTTATATATATATATATATAAATATATTTATATATATATATATATTATATGCCTCTCTCTCTCCCACACTCTATCTATCTCTATCTACATATAGCATATAAATATCGCATAAATGTGTATAAATAGCATATCATATTTTAAGCCAGGCGTATGACATGCTCTCAAATCGGTGTCTCTATGTGTGTGTGTGAGCAGATTATAGCACACACCCACACATAGGGAGGGAGCGAGTGAGGGACATGCGCCTGGCGCTTATGTAACACTTTATTTTATTAAATTTTCAAGCTTCAGTTGGTATTTTTGTATTTCTTCTTTTTTTTTTTTTTTGTTATTTTGTTGCTGTCCGCATGCATAATAATTTGGTATTAAGCGCTACTTGCGCTGATAATCCTGAAAAATCACAGTGCAGCATCATGAAAATCGCTTTACATGCCACATGCCACATGCCGCAGTGCAAATACTGCAAATTGTTGCAGTTTAATGCGTTTCGATAAAACCACAGCAAATAAATATTCAAGAAAATAAGTGAAACTACGCATACGCCGCGTAGTCCCTTCGATACTTGTGCAACTAATTGCTGCTAGCTTGAGCTTAGCATAATGAGCGTGAAGAATCAAATAAGTGTGCACACAGTGCACTAATTGCATGTACCCACACACACACACACACACACACACACACACACACGCACACCCGCACACACATTTTTCTTAAGAGTTGTCGCTGCGGTTATAAATAAACAAAGATGCGGGGCGTCGATTGGGTTTTGCGTTTGGGCTGCAGGTGGATCGCATTTAAATGCGCAAACGAAAACCATTTATATGCAAAACTATTGTTGCATTGCATACTGAATGAATGCCGCAGTGGCAAGGCACCATGGCAGCCAGGCAGCCAGGCAGGTAGTCAGGCAACGCGCTGTATGTGGCAGCCGCATAAAATGTAACGCGCGCGCTTGGCTAACCGTTTTAACCCATGCAAATGACGCATATTTGCCACAGCTACCCGCAAGCCTCAACTCTGTCTCACTCTTTCTCTCTGCTTCCATCTCCCTCAAGATCTTTCGACTGCGAAATGCATGCAAATGCGAACGCAGCGAACGGCATTGAATGCCGACGACTCGGCAAACAAACGAATAAATATGCAGACAGGCCAAGAGAAATGCGCAATAAACACGCACACACAGCGTGTGAGAGGGAGAGAGACAGCGCTAGTTAGCGCAACAGAGATAGCTATAGACTCTGCACAAAGCGATACGACGAAATTAAATCAAGTAAAACGTGCATGCCACACTCGCACACACACACACACACAGCTGCAGTATCGATGTCACTTGTGCAAGGCGTCTTTCAGCTTTGACAGGTGCACACACACACACACACACACACACACACACACACACACGCACACACAGACAGTCAGACACACTCGCTGATACACGCCTCGGCAAACGACTTCATTAAGCGCCATTGTAAGGCGCATAGTTCTTGCAACTGCTGCATTGCAACGTTTGCAGCGTTTTGTGGCAAGTCATTGGCGTGCATTGTGCTAATGGAAATGACTTCATTATATTTTCGAAACATAAACAATTTACGCAATTAGCGGCAGGACATGCAACAGCAATGGCAGCAGCAGCAATGGCTATGGCTACGGCAATGCTTCCATCGTGGCAATCGTGGCAAGCGCCAACTAATGAGCCTAGAGTGTCATAACTACAGCAACAAGAGTAACAAGAACAGCCAGCCAGAACGGTTATAACCACAATGTCAACAACAATGGCAGCCATTGCTGACAGCAGCAGCAGCAGCAGCAACAGCGACAACACCTAAGCACAACAAGCACACTCGAGCCAAACTGTAGCAAGGACTTGCACGCGCGCACAACCAACACACACACACTCACACACACACTCCAACAGATATTAGCAGTTCATTTACCTGGACGACGTGCTCTGCAAGTCGACGAAGCTTGGACAACAGCTGCAATTGCTGGCGCTTCAATTGCTGCTGCTGCTGCTGCCCCAACTCATGCCACTTCAGCTGGCCATGCCACTAAAAGAAAACGCCAATTGAGTGTCGTCGCACACACAAACACACAAACACACAAAAACCAACAACAAGCAGCTCACATATGCGCTCGAGTGAAGTCAAACACACTTATTTACATAGTATCTAAGCGAGAGTGAGCAGGTGAGCAGGTGAGCAGGCGAGCTACCTTTCGGGCATGTAGCAATTACGAATTACATTTTTCGCAATCCCAAATAGAGTTGCGGCGCAGCACAGTTCAACATTTTGGCCAAAGCAAATTAGCTGCAAAAAAGAAGCCAACGCAACGAGAGTTTTTGGGGCATAAAATGTTTGAGGCAATAAAATAGGGCTTTGGTCTGGGTATATAAAAAGTATTCTTAAAACAGAAGTCAGCCAGTTCAAGTTGAAGCTGCGCGAATACATTCACAATTATATATATTAAATATGCACAATATGCGATGGCATTCAAAAATCATTATAGAAACTTGTAAAGCTCTTTTTGTTGCCTCTAATCTTCAATGTTCTCAAGCTATGCTCAGTAATAGCATCGATTGTTATCGCTCATAAATGGAAAATGGCTGGAGTTTTTAAATAAAATAAGATTAGATTGTGCTGTGAGTAATATATATGAATATATGTATGCAATTTACAAGTCTTTAGCTATTGTTTATACAGGCAACTGAATGCACAGATAAAGAATGGGATCTCGGCCTGGCCTATATATATGCCTGAGTAACCATTGTCAGCAAGACATATTAAATTAAATCAGTCTCTGTCTCTTCACGTGATCTGGCAGCAACATCAGAGCCACATTTGATTTTAGTGTTCACTAACATTCCACACAAATAAAATTATACAACACTATCTTAAACTTCTAACTATCTCTATCCCAATAATAATCATATTTCCGACATATATTTAAAAGCAGCGTATAATGATTCGAATATTAGCTCCTCTGTTCAGCGTATCCCTTATTCTTCCTTCATTATTCTTTACTGATAATATATAATATAATAATAAATGATAATAGTACTAATTATATAAGCAAATAATGTTAATTAGTTCATCCAACTTAATTCTATGGATTTCTCGTAATATTGTGCCTAATTAAAGCCCAACTAAATACACATAATTTCCAAGATATGGACATAGCATATACATATATATTGTATAGTATATATATATATATATATATATATAAACTTTATATGCTTTTCAGGCCAATTCCCAGTCGCACACATTCGTCTAGCTCTCGCTCCACTCACACTCGCTGTTCGTCCGCTTAAATCTCTCGAGTATTTTTTATAGTGCGCTCGCACATTTAATGGATATAACTGTAGTTTATTTTATAGTTCAGATATCTGGCTATATATCTTGTAGTTATAGTTTACTGTATGGATTCGCAAGTATTTCTTAATGTGCGTCAAGCGTATTGGTTTCAGAAATAATTGTACAAAGCAGCAGAAACTTATATGTACACATATATATATATAAAATAGAGTGCGTGTGTGTGTGTATGTGTGTCCTGTAATACGAGCTCCCTTAGGGCATATTCACTTCGATTTGCCGCAGACACCGTTGGCACGCCCTTTAAGGGCATTTAATTTTTATGACACTTTTTTAATGTACGCGCAGAGAACTGAACTATTTTCATGGCAATAACTGTACGCTGTTGCTGTAGTTGTTGTTGTTGTTGCTGTTGTCATTTGGCTGCGTATAAAAGAGACAACAATTGAGTCAACTGAGGTATGCAACTATTTACATCACACACACACACACGCACAGAGGTATAGAGGCAAGTAGTTAACGTTAGACACTCACGCTTAGTATGGCTTAGCTGTAGCTCTGTGTATATATGTGTGTATGTGTGTGTGTGATGGGGTCAGAGTGTTGGGCTGAGGGGTCAACACTCTGCACAGCACATGGAGACATAAAAAATAATGCATTTTGTGCACGCGAAAAAATACTCGACATAAAGCAAAAAAAAAAAGAAAAGTTGAAGCAGTAAAAGAAAAAGCGAAGTTAAATAAAATTACAACATAAAGTAGAGAGTGTGTGTGTGTGTTTGTGTTGTTGTGTGCGGCAAGCAGCTAGCGAATGCTAGAAGAAATATCCAAAAATGAAAGACTCGTTGAAAGTTGCGTAAAAAACTTGCTGAAACTGCCAACTGAGGACCAGTCAGCAATGGCAATAGCAATGGCAATAGCAATACCCAAAACAACAACAACAACAAATAAGAAAAAGAAGAAGCAGCAGAGGCAGTAGTGGTAGCTGTAGAAGGCGACACATTCAAAAGGATGACAAAGTGGACCCTTACACTGGCAGCAGGACGCGACTGTCGTCTGCTCAGCGCAGCTCAAATTTTCAATTTACTTGTCCAATGTCTGACTATCTCTGTCTCACACAAACACTAGCGCCCCTCTCTCTCTCTCTCTCTCTCTCTGTCTTGCTTTTGTGTTGCCGCGGGGAATGCTTTAGCAAAGGCTCCAAACAAACTGCAGCAGCAGCGGCAACAACTTTCATTCCTTTTTCTTTCGCTGTTGCATGTAAGTTGCAAAAAGTTTGCCACACACAACTATATAAAAATATATACTATATATACTTATGCTATATATATATATATGTGTGTGCTAGCTAGATGTGTAATGCGAATTCTCGACGTGAATGTTATGTTTATGTAAAGTGCTGCTGGCTCGAGGGGGCCGAGAAGCTGTTGCTGAAGTTTGCCGCAAGTGCTGCTCGCATAACACAAAAGAGATCAGACTGCATTATAATAAGTACACCACACACACACACACACACGCATACGTACGCATACGCAGCTGTGGCTGCTTTAAGCTCAACTTTAACTTTGGTCAGCCGGTCATTGCCTCGGGCCATTTGCTAGCCAAGTTAACTACAATTTGGCTAGAAGAGCATAAAAGAAAGGCCTACAACAACAATTGCCAACAATTCAGTGCAAATCCGCAATTTAGCAGCGCAGCCAAAAACGCGCAAAATCCTGAACCACAGCAATGCCGTGCACCGCCGCACCACAGAAATTTCAACAACTTTTCAAACCCAATCGGAATACGCTCCGTGTCCCAACTCGGCCTGCTCATGTGCTCTGTATTTATTGCTCAAAATCCAGCCAAAAATCTAACGGAAATACACTGAGAAAAACTGAAAGAGAATACTACAAAATAAAATTACTTAGATCGATATATGAAATCTTTTGTTTATATAAGACATAGATATAGACATTTCTCTATGTTTTTGTAATATATAAAATATATCGGAAACCCTTGAAAGTCTTTATATAGATATATATAGATATATACTACTGTGTGTGTATTATAATATGCATAGATATATATATATATATATATATATTTGTATATCTCAAACAGAGATGCTTAAACAAAACAAATACCCGGAAATCTAAGCAGACCTATTATACCAATTGGATATGCCAAGATTAACTCAAGTCGTAATACAGAATATATGTATATGTATATATATATGTATATATGTATATATTCAATCCATGTAATGAGAACAGAGATACACTCAGATAAGTGAAATACAGCGATCGATGCTGCATTTCGAAACTGTAAGCCGAACTCTCCCATGTTTATTTTTAAATTCAAATACATTAGCTTATTTCTATTGCCATGATTTCCCACGGCGTGTAATTTGTGCATAGGGCAGAAGTATTTTTCTGGACGCTGGGGATGCTCGTAAATTCCAATACTCACTCGCAGTGCACGTAAAGGCGTCAGGAGGTGGCCGTCAAATGGATGCCTGAACATGGGATCAGCCACGCCTTCCACTGCCTGCCATATGCATTTTCACAAAACAAGCTTGAATGCTTATTTTCAATGGTTTCAGTGTATAAAAATAAAGATTTCGATTAATTTAATTATATTTTTAATTTTCATAAAAATAAAGATTTCGATTAATTTAATTATATTTTTAATATTCAGTTTTCACAAAATTCTTTTATATAAATAAATTCATATTAAATTTTTTTTTAATTTTTTACTGTTTTTAATTGAGCTCTTTTTTTAATTTATTTATTAATTCACAACAATTAACAAATAGCAAACTTTTTAAGGTGACATTAAACTCACTTAGAACATAGAAAATAATATTTAATTAACTAATTAATTGTACACCTAACTTGTTCTCAAAATTAACAGTTAAGCGAAACTTATTTCCAAACTGCTATCTTCTCTATAAAGCAATCTCTCTATATCAAGCTCACTTCACCAACTAAACCTTATTTTAATTTAAATTATTGAATATATTTATTATCTCACTAGATCGACAGTTAAAAACTATATTAAAAATATCTACAAAATACATTTGGCAATACATTTTCCAATACACGACACTAGTTTCTCTCAGTGCAGCCGGATATCCGGAGTGACTGATGTGCACAGCCTTCGGCCAGCGCTTGGCCAAAGCTGAACACCTACTGTATTCAGACAGTGCGTGTTGCTAGCTACTCGTTGTTGCTGCTGCTGTTGTTGTTATTGTTGCAAATGCAAATGCGTGGCACCTCTGTCAGTCACCTGCCTGCCCCAAGCCTCCATAGGCGGCTCGACCCACTCGCAAAAAAACAGAAACAAATCGCGAAGCAGCAAAAAAAATATTTGTGCTCCAAAATGTAGCGCTTAAAAATCGGATTTAGCTGATGCACCTATCAGCACACAACTGTAAACTCTGTGTGTGTGTGAGTGTGTGGGTGTGTGTGAGTGTATGTGTATTTGTCGCCAGACCGCAATGCTATTACGTGAATAGCGCGCTCGTCCGCTTGAGCACAAAAACCTATTTGAGGACCCCCAGCCGTAGCAAATGCTGGGGCAGGTGCTGAAATGCGGCCGCTGTGGTAAATGCAACGTGGGGTTGTTGCTTGTTTAGCGCAACGCGAAACCTGCATCATGCAGCGTGCAGCGTGCAACGTGCAACGGGCAACGTGCAACGCACCAAATCACAAGTGACGTTATGGTTTGTGCCACCAAACCGCAGGCAATAAAAGACGCAATGACAGTCGATGCCAATGACATCCAGCCAGTGCGACAGCTACAACATTAGCCCCACTGGACGCACACTCACACACACACCTACACACACCAGCACACACTCTGCCACCTGCGTCTGTTTTCATTAGAAAATTTGTTGGCATTTGGCTGGCGCCACAATTGACAATTTGGCTGTAGTTTATGCGTGGAGCACGTAAATTTATATGGTAATTCGATGCGTTTGACGGGTTTTTCTTTTTTCAGGCTTCCCTGGTAGCAGTAAGTGGCAGGGGCTGTGGCAGCAAGTAGGCTGCGTTGAATTTATAGTTCTGTTGCAACAGCATTTCTAAATTGAACGTGTCATGTTTTGAGGCGCCGGCAGCAGGCAGCAGGCAGCAGCACAGATGCCTCAATAGATTAGCTGTCCTGTTAGCAAGCACCATGCTGCAACATGCAACATGCGGCACACACAAACACACACACACACATCCGCTTGTCCGGCTGCCTGTCCGTGTTGTTGTCTGTCTATTAAAAGTGTCAGCAAATGACTTGAACATGTGCGCCGCAGCAAATGAGAACACGTCAAGGATGTCAGTGGCTGCCGGTGCTAAGGACTGCCAGCTGCCGGCTGCCTGCTGCCTGCTGCCTGCTAGCTGAATGCAGGGATGCTGCCTGGCTGACAGCGCCACATTCAATGAGATTTGTATGTTTTAGATAATGTCGAACCAGTCGGTCTCCAACTCACGCTGGGGCTCATTGAAAAGCGAGCCACATCAAATATGAATAAGTTTTGAACGCTCATCGCACACTATCTCTCATTGACAGCTGTCGTGTAACAGTTTTGCAATAAGCACACCCACACACACAACGGCTGTGCACAGTGGGGCAAATTGCACAGATGGAGCTGTAAAGTGATGCAGCTTAAACAGGCATTGCCAACTAAGTTAGGAATTCTAAAGTCGCTTAAAGTTCTCTTCGAGTTATCTAGAGACTTTCGAGCTGGAAAAATGGCAATTGCCTAGCCTCTACACCTTCAGCTCAAACCAAAAGCTCTTTGATAACCTTTGACTAAGGCAAACCTTATTGGCATATTCTTAAAGAAGTATCTTTATTTTGAAGCATCCTCTTTATATTAATCTTCACATATCAGCTTCAAGTTATTCGTTTCAAAATGTGAGCCGAATATCTTCAAATTATCATACAACTTTAATTTGCAGTTGGCAGCCAAAAGCTGAACTCAGAAATATGCAAATACAGCTTAAGAAATCTATTTTCATTATTATCTTTCTGGCTTGCTGTAGCTCAAGTCAAGCCATTGCTTCTTTTTCTGTCACAAACAGTTTAGAAGTGAGCCATGGTACTGTTGTTGCTGCCAATTGGAGCTGAACCGGCTTGGAGTTTCATTAAAAGCCAGCTGTTGGCTCAGGACGCTGTTGGGCAACGTTGCCTTGGCTATTGAGCGCATGCATTTAACCTGGCCAGGTTCAGAGCCAGCCAACTGTGGCCCTGCTCTGCCCGCGCTCGGCTTTAGCGCTTGGTTTCTTTCACTTCTGCCCGGCTGAGCAGCCAATTGCAATTGCAATTGGCAACGATGTCGCCAAGCGGCTGCGGCACTGCACGTTCTTCGAGGCTTTAATGGCAAAATGTTCATTTGTCATTATTGACAGATGTCGCACGTTTGCCATTTTAATTGGCGGCTTAAACAAAATGAGCTGCAGGCAGCCAGACAGCTGTCCAGTCAGGCCATCCATTGCAGTCACTCAGCGCTGCCAATGTCCCGATGTCTTACTTGGCCAAATTGTGCAGCGCAGCGGAAGCGTGTTAATGATTTATTTTGCGGTCAAATATTTGACTCGAACGTCAGTTAGCTTTTAGCTTTATTTTATTAATTGCACCTGCCTAGAACTATCGTCTACTATCGCAACTATCGCCATCTACTTTTCCTATGACTGATCCACATACACACACGTATCAATTGCAGATGTGCTTGTCGATTTGTCCACATTCTTAAATCACGGTCAGTCAGGTCAGTCTCTCTCTCTCTCTCTCTTTCACTCTTTCACTCTGGCTCTCTCTTCTTCTCTCTCTTTTTTATTTGCCTGTTTATATTTGCATGGTCTATAGTTTTTGGTTTTCATATGCATGCGCTACACACAAAAAACTCAATATTTGCGATACGCTCACAGCTTCTCCTAAAAAAGGACTAAATAAATAAATAAAAATCTCAATAAAAAGCAAATACATATATGTACATATGTCTATCTCTCTCTCTATCTTTCTATGTGTGTGTGTGTGTGTGAATTTGCAGTTTACCAAGCATTTTGTGGCTACAATTTATTTCCTTTTTCTGTTCAATTTGCATTGCTTCCACAATACAAAAAAATATATATATAAAATCTGATAAAAATAGAAAAAAGCTAAAAGCGTTTTAAATGGATAACAAGAATATATATATATTTAAATGTATATATATATATATGTTTGTGTGTGTGCGTGTGTATTATTTTTAAAAACCCATTGGCAACATTTGAAACGCTGCAACCTGCATGAGTCATGCCATTGCTTTTATGAGCACAATATTGAAAAAATACACACACGCACACACACGCTCACACACACACAGAAAATGCAATATAGATAACTGCATATATGAACTAATGATTGAATTTGCTTTGAAATATATTTATCTATATCCTCTTGTTTTTTATTCAAGCTATGTCTCTGCGTGGCGCAGCAATTAAATATTTCGAATTTTTTCCCATTTTGCAGATAACGAGATGCGAGACCTGAGCGTGACTTTCTATGGCAGCGGTGCGGTGAATCGGCAGAAGTTGAGTCTGGTCACACTGAGCGGCGTTACGCTAATGCTGAAACTGATTCTCGCCTAGATCGCTGAGCAATTAGTTCTAGCATTTGGATTTAAGTAACGAATTTCACCGCCAATAGCATTACAACATGGAACGGGTTCTCTTCATTTGGTTCGTATATGGAAGGGGGCGGGCAGTGGGCGTGCCCCTGCCAAAATAAGTTAAACAAAACAAACCGAAAAGGAAATAGCAACAGAAAGAAAAAACAACTGCTCTAGTTGTAACGTAGCTTAAGACAAGGTAAAATAAAACATTTTTCTCAAAACTCCAACTCAAAACTCAAAAATCTCAATTTTTGCAATTTCTCAGAACATTTCAAACATTAAGCGAAAAACAAAATGAAAACCAAAGAAACAAAATGGAACCATATATAGATATATATATATACGATACAATCAATGTCATAGCATAAGCAACTGTGCATACTAACACACACACCCACACCCACACACACACACACTCATACATATATCTAAAACATTGTCGCACTCGAGATTCCAGTGTAAATAGATTTTATTGCATACTTTTAGGCGTAGGTAAACCAAACACTGCACCAAAAGAAGTTGAGAACGCATTATAAACTTGATGAATTATGAATATAAAAGAGACGCACATACACACACAGCCATACACACACATATGCGAATACCCTTGCTTGAGTGTGTGCGTAACTAGCATATTGAGTATATCTATCTAGCGTCTAGGCAACTAAATAGTATCTTGTATGTGTTAATGAAATTAACATGCCAGTGCATAGCCAATTACTTGTAATCAACATTTATTTGCGCATAAATATATATACACATATATATATATATATATATATTTAGTTGGAATACCCATAATGCTAAATGCGTATCGCAGTTGCCGTCGCAGTTTTTTCTAGCTTTTTGCTATTTTGGATGTCTGTAGTAGTAAGTAGCCTAAAAGCCATAAGCTGTTTGATTTCTACATGTAAATTACATAAATACACACCCACACACACACACCAACACACACACACGTACACATATACAATAAGCTTTGTATGACATAAGTGTAAATAAAGTAGAAAACTAAATTTGGAGCTGCGCCGCCAAGGCCAGTAGCAAATCCAAAATGAATACATTCACATATATATTATATAAAATAAATATATATATATATTAGCAAATTTATGACTCAACTTGTAATGCAAACAGGGTGCGTCCAGTTTGTTTCCTTTGAACTCTTCCAGCATTAACTTTTCCGTTTTGTACATAAAAATGCACCGAAGTTAAATACAATTATCTAGAGATATATACATATATATATCTAAATATATATATAAATCGTAAAACAAGTAAAAGATGTTGCATAGGCACCCGTTTTGGTTGATCATTTCTGTGGCGAGCACCCTGTATTTTAATTTTTAGCAAATTTCTCAAAGCTAGGCAAAATATTTAATATATAGTCAAATCATGAGAATACAAACGATAAATGATAAATTTAAAGCAGCTGTTGCTTAAAATAAATATTAAAATAAAAACAAAAACAAAACAAAAAATTAAGTGTAAACACGCAAATTGATTTACAAATAAGAAAATAAATAAACAATTTACTCAAAACACAGCTTATAAAACATTTCATTAATAAAACTCATTCGCCTGGACGAAGCCAACACAAAAATAAAAATTAAAAAATAATAAAAAAAAAAATTGTATGTTTAATTCAAACTCATGGCCAAAATGCAGCAAAAAGGCAAGGCAAACGTATTTATAATTATATGAAAATAAAGCGTCACACAAGCATTTTCATATATATATAAACATTTATATATATATATACACATATATATATATTTGCAAGTTTTTGTTCGAGTCTAAAATTGTCCCATATCCCGCCCTGGTTCCCACCCAAAACTCCGTTTTTGCTTAGTGCCCTCAATGAGTATATACATACATATATATATGCTATAATGATGTTCTCTGTATATGTATGTGTGCGTTTGTATGTGTAATTTAATATATATATATATACATTTAGTTATATAATTGTATTTTTAGTTAATGCTAAAAATGAAAAACAAAAGAAGACAATTAATGTGTACAATTCGAAAAATACTTTTCCGATCAGCAGATTTTCAGATCCACAGATCCAATTATAATCCACGACAACAACAACAACAACAAGAACAAGAGCAACAAATTGAAACATTTTCTGCATTCAATGTATATGTGACTAGATACGTACTCCTATGTATATGTAATATGTATATTTGATTATTTTGTAAACATTTTTCAAACAACAACTACATATAAATAAAGTCTATATTAACATATAAATGTATACAAATAATGTCTTTTAATGTGAACTTAACTGTGATACTTCGCAAATGTGTGTGGAATATATTTGGTGTGACTTAAGTAAATATATAGTCATGTATATTAGATTAAATTTTTATTTGAAAAACACTTTCACTTTGATGTGCAGTTAAATATTTTCATATTCAATTATTTTCGATTTGTATAAACAAAATCAAAGATCTTATAAGGAATATCTCACCTACCACTGAGATGGCAATAATCTTTTAAATATTTTTATTTGGCAGTCTTTATATACTCTTATACTTTATACTCTAAACTTACTGATTATTGATATATAGCAGATAGTAGAAGGCGTTGACAGCTCCATAAATTACATTCCTTCAGGAACAGCAGCCAACTCAATGCTGCGCTCATCTATCTGCCTATTCGTAAGAAGCCACCTGCTTGTCTATCTGAATGATGTAAATGTTGTTTTTTCTACAGATACAACGAATAGTTTATTTAATCGATAACTTTAATAATCATTATAATCTCACCTATTCGATAACATTTTAATCTTCATGAAATCGATTAACAGAGATAACCAGCTTCAATTATATGTAAACAGCTCGTACGTCTTATGAGATGGAATGTCAACTTTAGCATATAGATTCTGGCTAATTTTATTTTATTTATAAGGAATACTCCATAGTTTTGGATTCGTTTTACAATTCACTAGAGTTGCAAGAGCTTAAATATTTTATTTTTGTTTCATAAACATGGTTCAAAAAAATTACCAAAGCTATTTAATCACACATGTGCAAGAGCTGCCTCTGAGTACGAGGTATTTTCTAGTTGGGCATTGCCGAATATTACACTGTTAACCATTTTCAGCTTTGAGGCAGTGTTATAGAGTAGAAAGGTTTATTTAATATGCTGTCTCAATTTTAATCAATTTGTAGTCAATGAAGGAAACTTCAATGCTCTTATATTTTTTGTATTTTATATTTTTTATTAATAAGTGTAGAGCCTGTACAATCAAATGCTCTGATCAAATATAATATAATTAATTATAATATAGAACCTAAAGAGAGAGCTCACATATGAAAGCGAAGGCTTTTGCATAACTAACGAAGCCAGATATCTTTTTGCATTGAGCATTTAAATATCTTATCATAAGAGCTTAAAGTGAGCAAAGCTTTTCTCCGAATGCAGTTGACATTGTCATCAACTAATAAAGTCGTTTAGATAGTATAGTATTCTTATACTATATTACGTTATGTAACAAGTTCATGAGCTCTTATAAAGCCAGCTCCAATAGTCTCGCCCAGACACGGATTTGATTGAATACTTTGCAGCAAGTGCAAATAAACTAGGTTTATTCCCGCACTTATTTTCATAGTGGCATTCGCTTGCAGCAACTCAGCCCGCGCAGAGCTACCTCTGAAGTGGCTCATCTTAAAAATTACAATTTTTTCACTCTTATTTATTTGATGCAGCTCAGCTGCTGAGAGCTGCACTGATTCATGCTTCTCGTTGCGATTTCTATGGCATTCGTGTTGAGAAGCCGAGATGAAAACTTACCTTTCTTTATTTACACAAACTCTTTAGTAGCTAACTCACCTTTATTCTCCATGCGTGTGTGTGAGACGCAGCAGACGTGTAGCCATGCACGAGGAGTGGGACCTGGCGACATGAAAATGGGAAATGGAAAAGTTTTGCATGCTGAAAACAGCTAGGCAAGGAACGGCATGGAGTGGGCGTGGCAAAACTTTAAATGGAAAATTTGACAGGCGAATATAACGTTTATTTAAATAGGAGCACATAAATGTATGGGCAGGTGGGCCGTAGCTGCTTGTACAAGCTGTTGACAATGGCCAGGCCAGGCCAGGCTAGACAGCCAGGCAGGTGTAATATATGCATAACAAACACACACACACACACACACACACACACACACACTCTCGCGCACACCTGCACACTCATTCACTCACTAAATACAGCTGCTGGTTGAAATTGAAAAGTTGCTCGAACAAGTTGCAAACATCAATATAAAACCCACACGGCATAAAACCAACAAAATGGCCTCAGCAAATTCTGTTGGCATAATATTATTGCCAGGCTAATTTGAGTCGAACGGGCTGACGGGTTGGCTAACGGCTTCGCCTCGTTTCGCCTCGTTTCGCCACGTTGTGCAAGGTGCAAATGGCATAAAATAACTGCGCCAAAAACTAAGCAACACAAAGCGGACAACAAGTTGCACCTGAACCCAAATATGCCTACGTGCCACAGCGCGTATTGAAAGCGAATGCGCACGAGAATGCGAATGCGAGGCGAGCATGGAATGCAAAAACAAGCCAACATCATGTTGATGTGTGTGTGTGTGTGTGCAGGTGTGTGCGTGCGTGTGTGCAGCTCATTTCCGGGCATTGTTTTTTGCCAACAACAGCAGCAGCAGCAACAACAGCAGCTGTGCTGTTTTTACGTTATGAGCTACTTGTTGTCCCCACACGCACACACACATCTACACGGCTGCAGCTTGTGTGTAGGGCATAATGCATTATGGCAACACGAACAACACTCGACAGCTGTGTGCGTGTGTGTGCCAGTGATATTACACACACAACGACCACTACATAAATATTTGCATATGAAATTTATTATGCTAAAAATAAGCCAAGATTTAAAAGCGAGAGCGAAATAAGGCCAACTTTGGTGCGCCGGGCCAAAGGCAGGCTGCATAATGAAGCCAGACGCGAGCTGCGGCAGCAACAAATGTCATGACATCTTCCTAGCACCGCCTCTCAGCGACTCATATCAGCCGCATTCACACCTCGTCAACTGAAGCCTATTTATGTGGCATGGCAAGCGACTCGGTCGTCGTCGTCTTCCTTGCAATTTGAGACCCTTTTGTGCGGCCGGAAGTGGGTCACATATGCAGGCAACAGCAGCAGCAGCAGCAGCAGCTGCAGCTGCAGTTGAACTGCAGGCCAAGACAAAGCACAAGCTTGCCTGTAATTAAGACCGCGACCATAACTTCCCCTGCCTTTCGCTTAACAAATTGGCACAGCATTTGTGCTACTCGAGTGCCGCCACTCGACTGACTCGTGTATTTGTGCTCATATTTCTGTGGCCCCAGCGCGATTTCTGTATAAATTAACTTAAACTTTAAGCGGCTTTCGAGGCAGCCAGCGCGCTCCGGCCAGCTGCCAACTTGTTAAGTGTTTGGCTTAGACGCTCGTAATGCGTTTATCGAAGGCTCAAAACATTTGCATGCTTTTAGGCGCAGCCCCAGCCCAGATACAAATCTTAGAATACTGCAAATCCCAGGAATAAGCTGGGGGCTGCGAAAAACAAGCTGTATTATATAAGTTTATACGTGTACACAGTTTTTGGATAACTTAAGAGAAAACTCTCGAAAAAAAATATGTGAATAAGACTGATGGGGAGAGAGAAAAACAGAATATGTCTGATAAGTGGCTACAAAGC